GAAGATAGAAGATGGATTTGGTGAAGCAACAGGGGAAAGAACACAGAGATGTGCAGCAGACCGGGGGCATTTAGGTGCCAAGAAAAATTCCTTTAAATCCCACTTGGTGCCTCCAACTTAAGCAGTTGTGTGTGTGTGTGTGTGTGTGTGTGTGATGATAAGAATCATTTGAATTATTTGTTACCAGTGAACTTTTATCATGTCTCCCAGAGCTTTTGCATCGTTTATATAAAAAATAGGTGACCTGGGGTCTATGGGACCTGGGTGATGGGAGCGGGCTGGGTGTACATGGAGCGTGGGCTTTGGGTTGGGGGACCCAAGTTCTAATTCCAGACTGACCACCTGCTAGGTGTGCCTTTGGGCAGCTCAATTAACCTTCAGAGTCTCTGTTTCCTTGTCTGAAAAATGGCATTTAAATGAGGAAAAAAAATAATGCAAAATGTCTACCATATGTTTAGTATGTAAAAGGAAGTTACACTTTAAGAATGAATATTTTTTCTTTCCTCCCTTCTTTTGAGTCTCTCTTATCCTGGCCAAGAACAGAGAATTAGGAACAGATGCTAGAATTATAAAAACCACGTGCTAAGTAAAGGTGTGTGGGTGGGGATGTTGATCCCAGAAAATACTAATTAAAAGTTCACGTGCCAGCTGCAGATTATTGGATAAGATCCAAGGAATATTTTAAAATTGTCCACATTATCAGCATCGTAGGAAATTAGGTTCTTTGTTATGTTTGGTGACTCCTAGGAATCTATATAAAGATGAATCTTTTCTTCTTTCCACATGTGCATCCTCTTAGCTCCTCACAAATACTATATTGGATTCCGGTATGTCCATCCTTTGACAGAAGAAGCAATTGAAGAGATGGAGGGAGACGGCGTGGAGAGGGCCATTGCTTTCACGCAGTACCCACAGTACAGCTGCTCCACCACGGGTGAGGGCGTCTCTTTGATAATGGGAGGGGGTATTGCCCTGGCAAAAACCCCAGGGAGTCCGAGCTCTGAAAGAAAGGATGAGTCACTTTCAATTTGAATGGCAAATCCAGCATGTCTCCTTTAAACATAAGAGTTCAGGTCAGTCCATTTGAGATCTCATGGTTCACCTGTCCCTTGAGTTATTGGCCAGTCGGTTGAGAATTACAAATGGTGAGTGGAAGGTGGTGGCTGCGAGCGTTCAGTGCTTCAGTGCAGTTGTGTAATGGATCAGGAATGAACCTGAAGCCACTTTCTAGGTTTGTGTAATAAGCCTTGTTTTTATGGCTACCCTGATTTTCTTATATATAGCAAAGGTGATAACTGTTTCCATTTTGAAAGCAGAGATGCTCATATAACATGGGAAATATAACATGGGTATGGTGTTTTTTTGTTGTGCTTCAGTTATGGGTTGGTTGCTGGTTACACTAAGAAGCTGCTTGGGGTTCCCTTTGCAAACTTCTCTCAGTGTTCTTGATTTTGGAAAATGTTACTTCTTGTTATTTCCTGTATATTTAATTGAAGCTGGAGTGTAGTCTATGTTTGGCAAACTCTGTATCATGAATTGTAGGCAAAGCTTCTGCTGTCACCCACAGTACATCTGTTTGCATTCTATTTCAAGGATTGAGGTCAGCACATTTTTACTCCCAAATTGCTTTTGACTATTAATGCATATTATTTCTGTAACTATGAAGAGAAACAAAAGGCTACTGGAATAAATATTCACAGCTTGTTGTGTGCCTTAAATATTTGTTCAGAATACCTATTAAAGTGCCTGAGTTCTCAGACACCCTCAAGGGTTTGAGTTGTGATTTCTTTTGGAAAGCTACCTCTACTACTTCAAAATACCTGGTAATATATTATTGTAGAATGAGTTGGATTTTATGAAATTTTAAGCTATATTTTTGCCTAGCTTTAAAAAAATATCCCTCAACATATAAATGTCTGCTTTCAAAATTAGATAAGTTAAGAAGCTTGTTATTTATAGGACAAAGGATTGACTCCTGTTTTTATTCACAGCTCTAGTAGTGTGTTCAGAACTTCAATGTGTGCTCAGCTTTTCTCTAGTGTATCTCATATATAAGGATGGGTACATCTTCACTTCCGAGCGGTGGAAGCCTTTGGGAAGCGCATTTATTCTCTGAGGCCATAGAGTGTCATTCATCTATTGTGTCTGTAATGTGGCAGAGCCAGTGTGTTCTGTGTGCCAATCACAAGCACATTTATCAGTTGTATTTCTCCTTCTTTTTTTTTTTTTTTCCTTTTTGTCTTTTTTTCGTGACCGGCAACAGATCGCAACCCT